TTTTTTATTTTTTTTACCATTTTGTCTCTTTTAGTTAACATATTATATTATTAGAGATTTGTTTTAATTATATTTTGAAATATTATAATTGATTAACTTTTTTAAAATGTCTTTTTGACCATTTTATATTCTTATCAGCTAGTTTTTGCTAAACATGATTTGTTTATTATCTAATTTATCAACTATTAGCTAGCTTATCAGCAATCAACTAGTTTATCATCACCAACATTTTCAAACTGCTCAACCACCTTTTCAAAACAAGCCACCTCCACAGGCTGATTTATCATCTTTTTTGGAAGCAATGATAAAAGGGTTATTTGCGCATGCTCAAGCTCAAAATCAAGTTTTGATAACCCAACAAAACTTTAAAAATCAATCTCTTTTTAATCAACAAAGTGCTGCTATCAGAAATCTGGAAACCCAAGTCAGTCAACTTGCACTCAATCAGACTAATAGAGTCCTTGGTACTAGCCTAGTAACACAGAAGTCCCTAGAGCCTTAGGAAAGGAACATGTGAAAGCAGTGACCCTTAGGAGTGGGAAGGAGTTGACTGAAAAGGTGCAAAATGCTAGTGCACCAAGTTTGTCAAAAACTGATGCTACAACATTGGTATCTGCCAAAGAAAGACCTGTCCAACCTTTAGAGAAGCAAGCATCTAAGACCACCACTTCTGTTCCTCCAAGATCAGACTATCCCTTACTGTTTCAAGAAGATGTTTTAAAAAAAATCAGAAGGGACTGAGGTTTTAGAGACCCCTAACCTTGATGCTAAGACTCCATCTGAACCTCCAAAGTGCACCACAAAGACTCAAGACATTCAAGACCCATCTTGCACAACACATCCAAGCAAGAATGTGATAAAACCAGTACCTCCTTATGTTCCTTACCCCCAAAGGTTGAGGAACCAGAAAGAGGAATTGCGTTTTAAGAAGTTCTTGGATGTGTTCAAAGAATTGCACATCAACATACCACTTGTTGAGGCAATCGAGCAAATGCCTAGTTATGCTAAGTTCCTCAAAGACATCTTAAGTAAGAAGAAGAAGCTGACTGAGTATGAAACCGTAGCTCTTACTGAAGGATGTAGTGCACTTCTGACCAACAAGATACCTCCTAAGCTTAAAGACCCGGGAAGTTTCACTATTTCTTGTTCTATAGGTGGGAAAGAGATTGGGAAAGCTTTGTGTGACTTAGGTGCTAGTATCAACCTCATGCATTTATCCGTTTTCAACACCTTAGGCATAGGTGATGCTAGACCTACCACGGTTACACTCCAATTGGCCAACAAGTCCATAGCATACCCTAAGGGAAAGATTGAGGATGTGTTAGTGCAAGTTGATAAGTTCATATTTCCGGCAGACTTTATCATTCTAGACTTTGAGGCATATAAGGACATTCCTATTATTTTAGGGAGACCATTTCTAGCCACCGGAAGAACTCTGATAGACATCCAAAAAGGGGAGTTGACCATGAGACTCCAAGACCAAAAAGTCACATTTCATGTCTTCAACTCTTTAAAGTACCCTGATTACTTGGAAGAGTGTTCAAGAATATCTGAGCTAGAGGAGATGTGCTTTGAAGAAAGAATTTAGAAGAACCTTAAGTTGGAAGAAGAGTGTGATGAGGAAATAGAAGAAGAGGTTGAGGAAATAGAAACTGAAGTTGTCCCAGTGAATGCTGTAGCATTTGAGCTGCTGGAAAATAGTGAGCAAAAAAACTTCACCCCGTCCATTGTATTACCACCTGACTTGAAGTTAAAGCAACTCTCATCCCATCTAAAATATGTTTTTCTAGGAGAAGAAGGCAAATTGTCTGTCGACATATCATCTACCCTAGAATTGCATCAAGAAAAGAAGTTGGTTGATATGTTGAAGTTGGACAAAGAAGTTATAGGATTGATCATTGACGACCAAAAGGGGATAAGTCCTTCTTTTTGTCAACATAAAATCATCCCAGATGACAATAACTTCACATCCATAGAGCCACAAAGAAAGGTGTCTACTTTTGACAAAGCAGTAAATAAATTATTCGGTCTCTCACCTCACATAGATTCTGAGAATGATGCACTCTTGCACACGGCCTCTGAGGCATATTTGGCTGAGATCATGATTTTCCTTGGAATACCTGAGACTGATTGGAAGCCTTACACTCATTTCATGTTGAAAATCTTTAAGGCTGCCAATTTGTCCTCTGATAAAAATGTTTGGATAAGCTTTATTAGACATTATTTATCATCGACTAATCACAATAGCTCCATTTTTGTAGAAAGGTTGGTG